GTTCCATTGAATTTCAAGGGCCCCTTGTAGCAAAAATTTGAATTTACCACGGTCTGAAAATTGTATTTTTTGAATCTACGGTCAATAGGCTTTCTATCGATCCCTCTTTCTTGCAGAACTAGACAGTCCGTCGACATAAAAAGCAAGTTTCTCCAGCTGTGTAATCGAATAAGACATGAAAGTTAACTGATTATGCGCTTTCGAATCTTATGTTCTATTGTATTTCAAGACCCTTGTAGCAAAAACTTGAACTTGCGCCGGAAAATTATATTTTTTGAATTTGCGGTCAACAGGCTTTCTGTTAATTCCTTATTCCAGCATAACTAATCAGTCTGTGGACATAGAAAGCAAGTTTTCAGGCTGTGTAATCAAAAAAGACGTGAAAGTTAATATTATGCGCTTTCGAATCTTATGTTCCAGTGGCGGAAATCTTGGTGGGACGGGGGGGAGGCGTCCACCCACCCCCCCCCGCCTTCCGGAAAATTGACGAATTTTCGGAAATTTTGATCTAAAAGAGGGCTAAAAACAGTCTTTTCCAGTTCAATCTTATGTTCTTTTGAATTTCAAGGCCCTTGTAGCAAAAACGTGAATTTGCGCCGGTCCGAATAATGTGTTTTTTGAATTGACAGTCAATAGGCTTTCAGTAGATGCCTTTTTCCTGTATAAGTACGCAGTCTGTGGACATAAAAGCAAGTTTTTCCAGCTGTGTAATCGAAAAAGACGTGAAAGTTAATATTATGTGCCTTCGAATCTTATGTTCCATTGAATTTCAAGGGCCCCTGGTAGCAAAAACTTGAACTTACCACGGTCTGAAAATTATATTTTTGGAATCTACGGTCAATAGGCTTTCTGTCGATGCCTCATTCTTGCATAACAAGACAGTCTGTAATCGAAAAAAAACGTGAAACAAGCATATACGAGAACAAGTCCATTTTCTATTGGGACACGTTCATTTTGGGTGTCTCGGTAATTTAGATGCCTCGCGAATTTAGGGACCTCGCGGATTTAGGGCCCCTAGGCTTGGCAGTTGGCCCAGGAAAATATGCAATACTCGCATGCATGTAATCTTCAGTTGCGCTGAGCTGTTATATGATCCTGACGTTAACTTTTGTTGACCCAACGACTGGGCCAGGCAGGCCATTGTCCCGTTTATAATTGATGCCAATCAATAGAAATATTGATAGAAGGCGTTGTATTTAATGTAACACTGTTCGTCGATAACAACTTTTGTTCAGAAATCCTAGTGAGGATGGGTTTTTATCAATTTTGCGTGTCTTTGAATTCAAAGGTTTTCAGAACGGGGGGGCTGGGTGGGGGGGGGGCTTGCGTTGAAAATCTGCCACGGGCCTCGCTCGACGTTACCCAGCCCTGGTCAGGAACCTTGTCCTCAACGTCAGGAACCTTGTCCTCACCGTCCGGAACCTTGTCCTCAACGTCAGCAACCTTGTCCTCAACGTCAGCAACCTTGTCCTCAACGTCAGCAACCTTGTCCTCAACGTCAGCAACCTTGTCCTCAACGTCAGGAACCTTGTCCTCAGCGTCGGAAACCTTGTCCTCAACGTCAGGAACCTTGTCCTCAACGTCAGGAACCTTGTCCTCCACGTCAGGAACCTTGTCCTTCACGTCAGGAACCTTAATTGTCCTGAACGTCAGGAACCTTGTCCTCCGCATCAGGAACCTTGTCCTCAACGTCACGAACCTTGTCCTCACAGTCAAGAATCTTGCCATCAGCGTCAGGAACCTTGTCCTCAACGTCAGGAACCTTGTCCTCAGCGTCAGGAACCTTGTCCTCAACGTCAGGAACCTTGTCCTCATGCAGCGTCAGGAACCTTGTCTTCAGCGTCAGAAACCTTGTCCTCAA